TAAATATTGCAATTCCATGAATGCCAAGTTAGTATTTTTATTATACTGTGCCACTTTTACCCTAAACGGAACATTTTTATCTATCTTAATAGATGGCACTGGATGTATTACAGGCAGCTTTTTTAAAATAAATATCTGTTTGTAACAGTAGTCCTATTTAACAATTTTTATCTCTTCAAGTCCTTTGAACTAGAGAAAGTTTTTCAGCTTTGTCTAGTGGAGGCTCAAATATCTCCATGAATGGAGATTCCCCAGCTTCTGTGGGCAACCTCTTCCCATGCTTAACCACCATCTGTGAAAAATACTTTCCTAATATCTGTTCTTTACCTACTGTAAAGAATATATTCTACAATTACCTCTTTATTGTCAATTACCTAAGTGTGTGACAATGGACAAATATTTTTGTTTTTTAAAACGTGATTAGGTATTTGTAACCAGTATGCACACTCCCAGACAACTAAAAAACAGATCGAAATGGAAAACTGAAAAATTCTTAGAGTTTCCCATGAAAGTCATGCAAGACTCATATGATTTTGGAACCTAAGAAAAGGAGGCAACTTTATTACCTATTAGAAACATTTGGATTTACAGTGATTATTTCTGTCTTAGATGTAAACTATTAGCTTTCAAAAAATGGCTTTTTTGGACTTGCTAGTGATTATGTTATGGGCAGGATTCAAATTCCTCTGAAATCAGCTGGATTTTGGAGCACAAGCCTGTTTGTTTTCAACACTATTGCTAAAGCACATTTAGAAACTGTTGCTAGCCATGACTGACTTCCAGCAGAAAAAGACTGTATCTTATTACCTGCAAATTGTAACCAGGATCAGACTCAAGTGATAATACAGATTTAAAATACAAAAATTTTAAGAAACTGAATAACTAAATACAAAATTTAAAGAAAAATGTTCAAGAAAAAAATTATGAATGCAGATGCTCTATACCTATGTGTGTCTATGTACATATATATACACAAAATATAAATTTATAGATAGATTTTGTTGTTGTTGCTCACTAGGCTTAAATAATTCCTGGAGGAAAGTGACTGTACTGAAATATAAAATAAAATAAGATATAAATAAAATGTAAATAAAATAAAATCTCATGTAAGACTGGGATATTGCAGTACATTTCATGTTATACTACCTACTTTCCAATAAAAAGGTATTCATATATCTTCTATATAAACTTTAATATGCCCAGGTAACTTAAAATTCTGCATCACAAATCTGTAAATGACTTGCAGATAATGTAAATCAAACAAAGAAACCAAACCTCACACCAAATGCGTATTCTGTACTTTTGCATGTTTTAAAGAATACTAAAATAAAATATGGCATGGACAACTATAGCGTAATCCTTACCTGCATAGAATTCTGGACTATAAACTGCACCAACAACTGGATTTAATTTCCAGCCTGCAGCAAACATAAAAACATAACGAAGTTAATATTGCAATTAGTGATAATAATAATAATTAGTTTTGTATAGAGGTATACAGATAAAATGGCTTCAAAAAAGGTCATTTTAATGAAAGTTTTATAGGCATCTTAGATTACTGATCTTTAATATCAGACTCTGAAGTATGGAAATAAGTAATGAAACAAGGCATTTTCTGGACATGTAGTACTGGAGCAAATTATCAGGTGAATTACCTTGGCTGCAATGCATAGTTGCAAGTTATTCCCTTAAGTTATGGAATTAAGTCAGAACTAATTCAGGTATCCCTATATCATGAAGCACCAGAGTAGATCAGTTCTTTTTCATTGTGTTAACACTCTGGTTACAAGCTAGAGAGGCCAAAACAGTTCATTTGCTGAACATAAATGTTTTTGATAAGCATGTGTTCGTGTGGGTAACAAGGCAATCAAATAATCTGAGCATTTTGATTCTACTCTGGGAAAAATGAAAGCGTAGACGCTGTATGGAAATGTCTATTGTGACATGAAAGAGATTTGCGCACTGTGGGATCCCAGTCAAATGCCAGAGACTTTCTTTCCATTTGCATTTGTACATCAGACTGTCTGCACTGAAACAGGACAATTATAGGCACTCACCGAAAGTGTCTGCGCCGCCTGCGTTTACAGCTGATAAATGCTGTTAGCATATTGCTATAAAGCGGCTGGCATGTCAGAAAATGCTGCAGTCACATTCTGCAAAGCTCTTAAGTGGCACAAATGCAGCCACTGCCTTTGTCTTAAATAATCACTGTCCTCCCACAGCTGGCATAAAACCAAAGCACAGAACCAACAGATATTCTGTACCGTGTGTTCTGGCCAAACTCCAGATAATTGCTGTTGTGTCCTTACACCCGACGCGGCATTTCCAGGTAAGCCTGGCGTGCACAGGCTCGCTGCAGAAGCAGGGCCCGTGTTCAAAGCATATGTGATGCTAAAGACAACAATGCTGAAGGAACTGAAGTGGAAGGGGTAAGAGAACAGCGGGAGAAAACACGGGCAAACTTGTTAGCATTCTCAGCTGTGGTAAAGTGCCAATTACTGTGTTTTGCTCTGCCGCAGGTAGATCCACTCCTAGCTAACTCCAAACTCCACAGAACATCCCCCCACCTACACACTTTCTTTTTCTTTTTTTCCTTTTTTCTTTTTTTTTAAGTGCTTGAACAATTATTTGAACAACTGGGACTGAAAAATTAGGGGTTTTCCAATAGCACACTTGAATCGGAGGAGTGGGAAGCACCATTTGTAAATGGGAACAAAGAAAAAAAACTGAGCAAAAGCATCTTGTGAACTCAAGAACTACGGTACTTTAAATAGATCCTATAACTATGCTGCTGGAAACAAAATACAATCGACAGGAACAACAAGGCTTTTCAAAATCAGAAAAGCCAAGATTAGAAGAATTTAAATGCAAACTGTATTAAGGCTTGTTTCTGCCTTGGCCATATCATGTAATGCAAAAGCACAGTTGAAGATCATAAAACCATATGCGTTATAAGACCGAAAAAGCGTAATACAAAATCTCAATAATAACACAAAAGAAAACTATTCCTACCCTTTAAAAATGCTGCTATCTCTATCTGATGCACAGTAACTGTTTAGCAGCAATTAACTGTTCAGTAACAGTGTTTTTGAAATGCAACTCATTAATAAGTTCAAACAGAGTGAGGAGCAGCATTGCATGCAATTGCTCTGCAGAAGTAATTGCAGTTGCTATACATACCTAAAAGACAATTACGGAAGCTGAAAAATGGCCAACCAAGAGGAATTAAAATTACTTTCCTCCTGAAAATATCACAGGATTTTTACCTGACCCTTCAATTTTACATACTACAGGATTATATTCAGGAACGTGGTGGTATAACAAATACTCTTAGCCAAATTTTGTGATATAAAATCATCCAAGTTTTTAGACTTTCAGTAAAAATCTAACTTTTTCTAGTTTAGGGAATATTTACTATTTCAAATTCATTACTTCCTCGAAAGACGACTGATCAACGCCATGCAAAATGAAAGATTGGGCTGAATTTCAGATCCGTCAGCTTTTGCTGTCAAAGAAGCTGACAGACACCTCTCAGCTTCTAAGTTCCATTGAGAGCGCCACAATTTGTCTGAGAGAAAGAAAAAAATCTTGGAAGACGCAGATTGCTCTTCACAGCTGAAAGCCACTCTCATCTTTCAGTTCCTTCCCTCTCTCACAGCGATGGCTGTCTCGTCTAACTTTTTGAAACTTATACAGGAAATACTTCATTCATCATGAAAATAACAGTAATTAAACTTAACTTTATCTTGTCAGCTAGCAATGTGCTGGCCCATAGCTGTGTGGGTTAATCAAGTGTGATTGGAGTTGATGTATCCGAGCGAGCATCTGCCAAGGAACCCTACTTCAGCAGCCGGAGGAGGCAAATTCTCTGCAGTGGGTGTAATTTTGTGCATTTTTCTTACTGTCACAATATTAATCTCCTCAAGTTGAAACTATAAAAGCTCAAAACTTAAAAACCAAAAAAGGAAACCCTCTGCCTGCCCCAAAACCCCACCCTGTACAGCCATCGAAAGAAATACAGGTTAAGCACGCTAAAGGGAAGGAAATAATCACATGCGCAGTGTAACAAGCTTTGGTAGAAAGCGGGGCAGAGCAATGCAGAGGGGATTATTTCACTTCGTAGGCCAGAGGCAGCCGTGGCCAGAGGAATGCTTTGGCGGGAAAGCAGCCCCGTGACACCCTTTGCTTTCCTCCTGTTTGCAAACAGAGGGGAGGAAAGGGGAGTGGGAGGGGATTTAACTGTGGTAATAGTCACTAGCTGTGAATTTGAATCTAAGTTTAGATCAACAGAAGGTCCAAATTCAAGACACCACAAGTTTAAACTTTAAAACATGTGTATCCCTCTACTGATCTCTATTTCATGTTCCTCGTTCATTGCCACAGTTCTCTGAATCCACTTGCACATAATTCTCTGTTCCCTACAACACTTGGATGAGCATCCTGAATTGCAATATGGGCATCAGAAGAAAGTATAACTGCGAACAGGATAGGCTCGAACATCCAAAAACGTCTCTGAAATATTTTTGCCAACAAGTAAAACTCCTGACACTGAATTTATTTGCAAAGAAAAGGCAGTTCTATCTCCAAAGCACATGAGGTCAGCTATCAAAATCATCCTGTCTGATAAAACACTTGCACAAAAAAATATCTCCTAGCAACTGAGAGTTTATTAACTGCTCATTTCAGGAGTCACCAAAAGTCCCTGGAAAGCATATTTATTTCAAAAACCATCTAGGACACAAAAGCAAACCACTTATTTGAATGAAGCTGCATATATTAAAAAAAAGTCTAGGTTTTCATGCTTTAAGATCTACTGACTTTTGCAAACATATTTACAACATAAGCCCTGTTATCAACCAACCAGCAGTATTCAGGAATGAAAGACAAAACAGAGTGTATCTTATTTTTAAATTACAATAAATATTACTGCCCGATGTTTTCATATCATACAGCATGTGCCCCAATTACATTTTGAATACCTGCCAATAACACGTCAGTCACCACATACTCTTTGAAACATAAAGCCACATATTAAAAAAGAAGGGGCTCTGAAGAGATAGGCATGTGCAAACAAAAAGGTTTTTGCGTCAGAAGCACCTTGCAAATATTAATATGCTTGCAGAAGAACACAGACAAATTAGCCTTATATTTTATGTAGAAGATGAGACCTTTACTTTAGACAACAATAATCTTTAACAATCAGCTATAACACTGGTTAATTCCTGACAAAACAATAAAGAACTAGAATCATACAATGTCAGGATGACTGATAATAGAAGCACTGATTAAACTAAATGAAGCACCTTGCATGTCTACACTTCATTCCTTGTCGCCTGTAATGATTATGCAAGAACATGATTCTCCTTGTGTGTTTATTTTAGGGGATCGCAGACATTAAAAAAAAAAAAAAGTTAAAAAAATCAAAATGTGTGAACTTCAACCAGAGTTTGCCTTGGTAGATACCCATCAAAAGGTGTGCAAAAGAACATCCTGCATGCAACACCTTGAATGTATGGATTCACAAACATAAATGATAATTTTTATGCACGAAACAGTATGTTTCATACTTTTGGTGAGATCTATTCCAGATGGAACAGGATGGAAAATGACAGACACAAAGCACTTCAAGTGGGAAGCACTTAACAGCAGATTTTCATCATTCTGGTTTTGGATATTAATAAATGGTAACGTATGACATAAGGTGAATCTCCTCTAAACCCAGATTCCTAAAAATCTCACATCCCTATTTCCAGCATTCCCTTCCTTCAGCATTGGTGTGCTGATATGTAATCTGTTACTTGCTAATGAACAGTTTTGTAGCCTTAGGATAATATGAATACAAAATATACATCATCATCTATAATAAAACTACTTTTATCCTTTTATCATTACAATATAGCAGACAAAGTTCATAGTATCATATGCATATAGTTAATTTAGCTCCTTGTTGCAACAAAATCTTGTTATGTGATCCAGTCAAGCTTCGTATCTCTTTCACTAGATTCACTGAGATGTTTTAAAGCTAGTAAAAATGAAGATTTTCCCATCTGCATCATTTGCCAAGCTCCACATTTACATACAAAACAAGGAAGGAAACAGTTTCTGAGAAAGCATGAGGAATTTCAGACTCTTCTTCTCCAGATCATTTTAACTAGCTCAGTTATCACACGTCAAATGAAAACCATCACTGTATTTTATTTTTACTGTGGTAGGAAAAAATAATGACTCTCATTAAAAAATAAAGCCACTGTTTGGCCTGGGTTTTAGTGAAACCTCACTAATGAGACCCCAGATATCGAAGATAAGATCCGTTATATTTCAAAATGGAAAAGAGTCTAATCTACCTGTGGAAAGCTTTACTGCTGTATGTGCAGATATCATCTGCTTTCTACTAGGTGGGAAAAACCAAATTAAATTGAAAAGCTAATAATTATAACTACACAGTCTAGTAAAACTGGAAAACATAACTGCAATTAAATTCAATTGATCTATTATTGCTTAATGTTGATGTATTATTGTTTGATGTTGCTGAGTTAGGAATTTGTTAGAATTTTCTGAACTAGCAAATGCAAACAACTCAAGCACATGATCAAACACTACCAATGGGAACATTTTTAAAATGTATTGCTTTCAAACCCCTCAAATATCTATGGATTATTTTTCTATCATTAGTGTACAACATTATACCAACTTAGGTCAGTGTTAGAATGAATTTTTTTAGATAGCTTGGAATCTAGATTTTTCCAGGGAAAAAAAGCTGGAAGCAGCACCCAGTTACAGTTTGCCCTTTACTTCTAACAAACTGTGGAAAGAAGACACAGAAAATTATCTTTGACTAGATGCGTGTCTTGGTACTAAAAAGTATCTCATGCCTGACAGAGACAGGCATTCTTCTTACTGGTGTCCCTACCTCCATCATCCAAGCAAAATTGAATCCTCTGATCAGTTCATTCATCGCAACATTAACAAAGCTAGAAGAGAACAATGCTTTCCTATCAGGTATATTTTCCTGTACAAAAGCCACTGTGGTTAAACACTCGGATTCCGATCAGGCAAAAGGATGCATGCTACGCCCATGTGGCTGTGAATTAGCTGAACTCTACACAGATGGAATTTATGCCCAGCCATATCATGTTGTAGGTCACTGGACAAAGCCTGAGCCCACGGAGATGCAGGAGATGCAGATTACGACACTTCATGAGTAGATGAGCCCACCCATTCAGCAGAAGAGTGAGGTTTCACATGCATTGACATTAAAACAAAGCACTGAGATCTCATGCACTTACCGTTTGTGTAAGGGTTGACGGTCTTTTTATTTGTCATTACACGTGCTGTTGCATTATTTACCTAAGCACATAGAACACTGGATTAGAAAGGGTTACAGGGAGGGTCCACGTTACTATTAAATGCATGCATTATTACTGCTATTAGTCATGTAAAAATAAAATGCAATTTAATTTATAGAAGGCAACAGGTGCATAACAAAATCATACTATTTATAATTACATTTACTTTCATAACCATTTTAACTTACAAATCATTTCAATAAAGCAACATCATATCATTTAAACTTTAATAAAAAGACATTAAAAGCAAATTAAAAGGTACTGCATAATTTAAGACTTAAGAGCATGCTTGTATTCCATGATAACACTGATACAATAAATACTCAAAACAGAAAAAAAGATTATATGAAGGAATGGAAAGAGACAAGGTACAAGGAAACAAAGAAAATGTCAAAAAAAGGGACAAACGAATTTTAGCAGTGTGCAACATAACCCTTTAGAAGAGAAGTACCATTGGAAAAGCAACATCTAGCATTCAACACTTGGAACAAGAGCCTTTTTCATTGCAAGAATTAACAAAATCATTCAAGCTTTAAAATCACAGCTAACAAAAGGATAAAAAGAGGGTGCATTATTTAACACAATATGGAGTTAACAATCTGAGTAAGATGTGCACGAAGTCATATCCTCAATCCAATCAGTGCCTCCCAGGCTTGCTTAAAACGTACACTCAATTACAGGCGTACCAATATAGAAAAAAATGTAGCATCAAGAAAACTTAATACAACAAGTCAAAAAAATTCACGTGGTATATCAGCGCTAAATACGTGAAACGGCAGATGGACTTCTCCACTTACCATTCAGCACCATCGCCAGCATGGGTATGTATACAGTTACCATGGTTACTGAGAGTTTGGTGAGGGCCCTAAGCGCTACCGTCGAAGGGGGAAAATGAAAAGGCAAAATATGCAACATCTTACTCAAAAGACGACAGCATTTTCAATTGGTATTTTTTTTATTCTAACAAATACGACTGAGGCAGTATTGAAGGGGATCCAGTGGTACTAAAACGCATTTGTGTTGGTTTTTTAATAGATATGAATGGCTTAGGCCATGCAGCCAAAGTAGCCTCATGGTTTCATTAAAAATTAAATGTTAAAATTGGTCAGTCTCTAGTCTGGCTTTGTTTCTTTTTCTTGTACATCTTTTGGATGCTTCTTTCCCAATCTGAATTTTTTGAAAGCCACTGTGGATCCCGCATCAACCCTGCAGGAAAAAAAAAAAAAAAACCAAACCACATACACCTCTTCTCGAGGTAAGTATGTTTTTGTTTTGTCTGTCACACTTTTTTTTTTTGTTGTTCTCAATTTTTTTTTCTTTTTTTTGTTGGCTGGTTTTTGGAATCTACTGCACCCATTGATTTACAAAACATCCAAAATAATAACTTCAAAATACTAAAGCTTTCATTTTTTTTTCAATTCTGTCATCCACCTTTCAGCAATAATGATAATAATAATAATAATAATTACAAAAGAAATAATAATAAAAAACCCAAGTAAGGCCAGATTCTCTCTCTTTATATATAAATATATATATATAAACAATGGGAAGGGGAAAGGGGAGCACACAGAAGACACCAATGATGCATCTGAAACAACAAATGAGAGTGAAGCAGACATTTATAAAAAAGATGAAAAGGAAAATATTTTGAACATGCACCTCGATTTTACGGCCCTCTACCACGGTGCCGTGTAATTTCTCCCTCGCCCTGTCCGCATCAGCACTATTTTCGAAAGTTACGAAACCAAATCCCTGCATGCAGGAGGGAGAAGGGGGGAAAACAACATGCACATTATTATTTCAGTCAATGACCACTTGTTTGCTTATGTTCTCTCTCTTTAATTTAATATTTTCTTGTCCTTGCTTCATTTCTGTAACATGCAAATTAGAAAAATTATAATTGTATTGAGATGTGCAATAAGTAAGCGACAAATGTGAACAAATTTTTTCTGTCATCAGTTAGATAATACCCTCTGAGAAATTCAAAGAATGATACCAAAAATACCTTTCTACATGTCACTACACAGGAAAATAAATCTAACAATAAGAAAATGAAATTAAAATAAATTACAGTGTCTTCACATAGAAAAAAATGAACTAATGAGAAAAGAAAATGAACCACATTTTAATGACATGCAGATATCTCAACGAAATAAAAAACATGTGCACAAAATTCAACACTGAATGTCAATATACTTTAAAACATTGCCTACTTAATCATGCTGTTGTGATCATAAGAAACATTGTTCCCATGCAACACTAGGGTAACTTAAACTTTTGTCAAACTATACAGCCTTTACTTATTTTTTTATAAAAGAAAAAAAGAAAATAAAACCACCAACAAAACAAAAGTACTTTTAGAACAAAGTATAAACTTTCTTATATTAACAGATCAAATAAAATCACATGATGTGAATAGAAAAAGAAACTCTGATAAAGGAATAAAAATGCAAACATTTTGAGTAAGTTTAACTGGTTCATTTACTATTTATGTATATTACTTTCCACATACAGAACATGCAACTGGTAAAACTCCAGAATCCCATGTTAGTGGGACAGGAGAATACTCAACAAATATGAAATTCTGCCTATGACAAATGCTTTGCTTTATAATATTAGGCTAAACAAACATTTCCAATCCTACTAAAATTCTTTTTATTGTGCTAAGTTAAATTAAACATTGTTTACAATGGTAAATATTTTTTAAAAAATCAGACATCAAAAAACATTTTAGAAACATACACCAACCCTTTGAAGTAATTCTTACATTAGCATTACAATGCCTTCGCATGCTTTCCCAAAGTTATCCGAACAAATAAGCTTCTACATCCTTGGTGTTTCATAACAAGAAACATTTGCAAGTTACACATGGCGGTTTTATAAAGACTAGGCATTGCTGCACATGTTTGAAGTCCTACTACAACCTTTTTCTTTACTGTTACTTTAGCTTGAACTATGGAGTTAAAGCTTTCCTCTGTTCTGTTCCTCAGCAATAAGCCATGCATCATGTCTCCTCATTCTCCAGTCCATTCGCTAAGTTTTGTGGTCAGTATTCACCCACTTACTCTCTGCAGTTCTACCTATTATGTACATAGTGACTGATTAAAAAAAAAAAAAAAGAAAAAAAAAAAGGAAGAGAAGATATTTATACATTTATTTATACATTTTATACAAAGAAGAGACCAAATATGAAACTAAGGCAAAACTGACACCAAGCATTGAGAAAAACAATGGGTATGAACCACAAAATTCATTAATCTACAAAAAGTGTTAAGAAACTATCAGGATCATTATGCAAGTTATTTGGGTTATGCTACCTACTCAAAGAACACATTTAGTTATGCCAGTTTATAACATAGAAAGTGACATTTACATACGGTAGCAGTTTATGTTCCATTCTCATCAAAGTAGCTTAAACACACTGTCTGTTGCTCTTTTTTTTTTTTCTTTTAAAGGCACGCTGAAGCCTGAGCTCAGAAGTGCTCTCAGCAGTTCCACTTCTACCTGAAGCTGTTCTCAGAACACCTGATTCCACACATTTTCTCCACTCTACCCTCCACAGTTTTAGCACAAAGCCACGACCTCGCTTGTCACAAGACACGGAGGATGTAACTCTCTTCCCCAAAGCACCAGGAGTGTTCAAGAGAAAATAAATCCCCCCCATAATCCCTATGTTTTAGATGCCTGCATTGGCTTTTCTTATACCTAATCCCATCCTCGACTTTAAACTTTTATTTCTTTTTCAACTCCTCCCTCCCATCTTGTAAAAGCTCTATACAAAAAAGCTCATAAATTAAGATGCCATTACGACAATTTCAAAGCAGAAAACGTCACTGAAACCATCGATCCAACAGTATGTCTATAAGGAAAAGAATCCCATCGCTAATAATAAATCATACATGAGTTACAGGAAGACTGAAGCACTGGTGGATAAACATTCTAGTGTGTCTGACATGGGAGGAAAAGGAAAAAGACATCATGCCTGTGACATACACATAAACCCTTATAATGCAGCTGATATCATAGGTGAAGCATACTGGGCTACAGTTTTGCAGCAGCTAACGCTAATGCAGTTATAGCCATTCTATCTTGCTTTATTTCTTAAATATTGAATAAATTGAAGTATGCATTTAAGGCAAAGTAATTTTCACAAAAAATTAAATGTTTGCAATACAATTAGAACTCTCTTAATCAAATAAATGTTAAATAGATTGTTTTCAAAGGGTTGGTGTACTGAAGCTTTAACTAAAGAGGAAAACATCTGCACTTAGATAGTCTAGAACAATCACATATTTTCTCAGCTAATTACTAAAGAGGATAGTTATTAGGTATCATTATCATCTTTCATTTCAGTAGGGGAAAAAAATACCTGTACTAATACAAACCTTCCTACAAATATCTGTAAGTATGGACTCATCTTGTAAAATAAACAAGATAATTACCATTGAAGAATAAAGACAGCAGAAATCAACGTTCCCATAAAACAGATGACATTTTGGAGTAGCTAAAATTACCCCTTTAAAAGATATAAAATGAGTCCAAAGATTTTCATGCTGCTTAGGAAACTGAATGACAGCTCAGAAGATGTTTTCACTAACATGGAATTTCAGATGTTATTTTTACAGCAGTGCAGTTGTTTCCTTTTACTCATATAAATATTTTAAACAAATTTAAAAATTCCATGGGTGAATTCAACTGCTTACCTTTGAGCCTCGCTCATTAAAAATAATTTCAACATCTAAGATTTTACCAAATTGCTGCAAAGAAATAGAAAAGTTACATGAAAATAAGATAACTTCAACACTTCTATCACACACAGTACAAGTGTTTGTTTCAGAAAATGGTGCACCACATAAAAAAGTTAAAGAATATAAAATCAAAGATGTCAAGCACCAAAAAAGACACACTGAAGAGGAGCCAGATCAATATTACAAGTAAATCATACGTATCATTACACTTGTCGCTATCATTCCACATATGCATTTATGAACTTTAAGTTCAGTGAAACCACCTGACAAAGAGGAAATGATCATTAAACTGTGATCATTTTGAAGTGAAAGTCCCAAGTTTCTTTTTTTTAATTTTGTCTTTGCACATAGTAGGTTACTTCCTTGCGATCCATCCAGTCCAGCTGCCATCACCGTTTTTTTCGTATGTAATATGCTACTGGTTAATTTGCTTGCAGTGTAATAAACATCACTAACAAGACAGGATTAACAGCCGCGTGAACATCCTTCCCTCTGAAGAACCTTTGTTTCGGAAGACTTTTTGCAGCTGCTTTCCAGGACAGGTAAAGGAGTTTGGTTACTCCTACTTTACAGGAATAAGATTAAACCAGCTGGGAGTTTTGTCACTGGCCTCAAGGAGTGAGGATTTCTCTCCACCCTTGCTGAAAAGGGATAACCATCACTCCCTAAGTAACCCTTGTCTTACTAGAGTATAATTTGGAGAACTGGAATGGATACTTACTTGTTGGGGATTTTTCCCTGCTCAGAATTGCACTTTTATTATAATATTAGTAATAACTGTTATTACTATTGCAATAGCACTCACAATCATCTAGGCATCGTTCACACACACAATACTTGACCACAGTTGCTATCCCAAAGAAAAAGGCTCTGTTGGACTTGCCTTAGTAAAAGAATAAATGTTTGACTCGGGCAGCGTTTAGTTAGAACACTTTCTGATATGACCTGTTTTGTGATGTGACACTGTAATGTATCAGTGGGTCATTTCTGTTATTTCATGCCATTAACATGCAGTATGGATCAGTGTTAACACTGGTAAGTGAGACAATATATTAAACAAAAAGGCAGAAATTAGAGGCAGGCAAATGAAGAGTAATCTAACAATAGTCAAAGGAACTGCAGAAATGAGCCTATACTTCAGTATTTTAGTATATAATAAACAATTACAGGCCAGAAAGGACAGTATTCCTTCTCTAGCTTATTAAAGTGTTTCAACTTGGTTATGAAAATCAACCATCATTTGTCATCCCTTGGCTTATTTTATGTTCTTGCCTTCACCATCTAATTAATGTTTTAACTGCAACTTTAGCCAACAGGCAGACATTGACTTAATGTTTAAACATGCTGTATTCCTGTCCAGGTAAAAAGATTATCTGCTATGTGTATGACGTGGTCATGATGCAGCGTTACCATATGTCGTATCAGATATTTCAACTCACACTTGCAGAAATTTCATTTTTCTATCAATTCAGAAGCTAAAAATTTACTGTTACCAAGTAATTCTAAAGCTGGAAAACTCTAGCCATTCTCCAGTGTTAGCCTTTTGAGACCTAAGACTTCGAAATATTGAAAAGAAATGTAGTTTTTATTCACTTATAAATTACTACAATTCCCCCCCCCCCCAAAAAAAAGATCCTTTCATTTAATGTACTTTCAAATAAAATCCATCTATTTTAAGTGGTTTAATTTAAATAAATTTGCATATTTTTCCCTAGAGGGTTAATTATTATGCCTTCTGCTATTTTGCTGATGTGCTGTAAGCTGCATTTAGGGGAGGTTATTTGTAGCAAGTCAGATATGGCCAGTCACTCTCATTTCCCAATACTATATCAGGATTCTTTTTCCAGCGACTGTTTCCTTCACTTCATACAAATAAATACTGAAAACCACAATGTCTTAACTCACATACAAAGACATGAGAAGAACTTAAAAATCTGAACTGAACATGAAAGATGGAGAGAAGTATAGTGCCATGAAGTACTTGATGCTGCACTGCATAACAAACTAATGCAGAAGAGAAGTTTTAGTGAGTCAGAAATAAGAAAGCAAGAGGAACACAAATACTTAAGAGTACTAACTTAGAAAAGGAAAAGCTGAGTTCTAATAGCTGATCAAGTACTACTTCTACATTTTATTTAGTGGCATTTCAAAATAAACCTCCCTGGAGAAGAAACCAGCTCTAACCTCTCATGGTTATGCACCTAGAATTGATTGCACGTATGAGATGTGTGAAACACAGCCAATGCACGTGAAGGTAGCTTATGGCCTGGGCAAAAGCAAAAATTGAGAGACTTATAGAAAAATACTGGCAAAGGCTTTAGAAGCTTACAGACCTACAATGCTCAAATTCAGCCCATGTCTTCTATAGATTTGGGTCCCTTGCTCATGAGGTCAAGCATTGACTACTTTACATCATGCTTTCCAAAATCAATAAATACAGGCATATAAATCCTTTTTTAGCAGGAATATATAAGCATTCAATATTTTAAGCCAATGTAGGTAGCTTTTTTTGAATGTAATACAAAACAGTACAATACATAGAATACACTCATCTGTATCACATACAGTAGAATCGGTAGAATTTCTTTTCCCAATTATGACTGGCAAATCAGATGTTTGGTTATAAATAAATGAAAAGAGAATCTTTACTGAAAATGGTTAAACAGCCTAAATCAGAGATAATGCTCTCACAGTTGCCTATAATATTAAATACCTACTGCAATGCAAATATAAAAAAGCATAAATAAAGTATGAGTACTTACACCAAACATTTGTCTAAGATCTGGATCCCGGAATCTGAATGGTATATTTGAGACGTGAAGCCGTTTTGGCTGTGATTTGTTTTCTGTGTTTTCAGAAGATTGTGTCTGTTGCTGGCCATCAGTCTGTGCTGCATCATCTGTCTGCTAAAAGGGTAAAGCAAAACAAAGTAAAGCACACTGTAAGTATTTCTGCCATTTTTAATATAAAGTGGTGGCCTTAAATTCTCAAAAAAAAAAAAAAAAAAAAGACTAAAAAGGAGTTAAATCTGCACAGACAAAGGTACTGAAGAATACCAGAAGTTGAAATACATGAAAATCAAACCCGTTTCTGTACCTGTCTCACCAGTATATGTTTTCAGTGATATTTTTAATATGTATTTGGAATAAACTGGAGAATAGGAAGGAGATTATTATTTGTTGATTTTCTTAGCTACTTTTAAATAATGAATAAATATGTCTCCCTATATTATAAGACTGTTGAAACCCCTTTAACCTCAGTTTGCCGATGGAAGAAACAATCTCCATGTCCAAATAACAGCTTACTTGCAGAAGCAAGCTATACACTTTCAAATAAGATTAGTACTTTCATTCAGAGGCCACTGGGACTTCTACACAGGAGGTAGGTAACACATCATATCCTAGTTGCCATTTCATAAGCAGTGCTAATGGGCACTAGAGGGTCATTTTGTCTAGATAAATGGTCACCATTATGGAAAAGGCCTTGAATTGTGAAAGGGAACAGAAGTATAATCAGTGGCGAAGGTTGCCTGACATAAAAGTGAGACCCAGAAACAAAGTTTTACAGATTTTCTTTCTCACCAAAATAAGAGCGTATCACGGTACTTCTTACAGGGGGTACTGTTCCCTAGTTTTAAAATGCTATTTTATAATTGAAGGACATTGCTGTGTATTACAATTTAACAAACAGAATTATAAACCCCTGGAGAGATTAGGAAAAAAACATAGTGTCCTTCATCCAAAAAGTATAACTAACCAATGCCAGTCTATAAGTATATTACAGAAATTTCTGGGCTGTGTTCTTTAATGATATCATACAGTGCCTAATTAATCACTGTGTGTACAGCACACATTCACTAGAAAAAGATTTTGCATAGGTATGTTAAAACAGTATAGTTATTTTCTTTTGCACGGTAGAGGGGATTTGGAAAAAAAGAAGAGGAAAGAAAATGAAACTACAAGGCTCATCTTACAACCGTTACTCTATTTTCTCTGTCCTTCCTCTTCCTTCTGGGCATATTCATCTTCCAAGTATTCATTTTTCTCTTGTGTTCTAATGTTACAGTTCAGCTTGTCTTTCTGACTTTTTTCATTCAAAAAAAAAAAAAAAAAAGAAACCTCCCATTTCCTGCTAGTACCTTTTAAGAGACAACAGTTTTAAGCAAAATAAAAATGGTTAAATAAAATAAACCTTACCACACAGTTTTAGTACCAATAAGCCTGTTAAGGAGGAGGCAAAAGAACTCAAACAATACATAATTTACATCAGCAATAAGTACATATAAATTAATTCTAGCAAGTTAAATGCAACATCAACTTCCCCAGTAAATGCAAATGTTCTCAAATTCAAAATACAAACATCTACAATATCCCGTTCTGCCTATACTTCTGTGCTAAGAACACTTTACAAATAAAGGTCCTTATCAGTTCATCAGCTGTGTCTACATTTTTTGGGATACGATGATACTCGTACACAAATACAAACTTCTGTACGCACTAAAGAAGGATTTTCAAGTGATCCAAACAAGGAACTGCAACAGCTCAAGTGTAAACCTAAAACTGAGTCAGTGCCACCACATCTCTTCAGCTGCTACTCTCTGAACTCACAGGCAGGGACCCACAAACGAAACAGTTCATCTTTACAAATTTCTAGTGATTTAAACACTAAACATGGTATATAGTTGTTAAGAGACAAAAACATGTTCCATGCTAATCTCTTGCTATCTAAAACCAGCTCAAAAATTCAAAATTTAGATTTTAGACATCTGTTCCATCCATAAACACCATAGAGATTACTTTCTACCTTCAGGCCTTAAAAGGAGAGAAATATGAAGGAAATTTGGTGTAAGAGAGCAGGTGGGGGATGACGGACTGGAAACTCTTGAAATATAACACTCCAGAAGAATTTAAGGTCAATTAGATTAATCTGAAGAGAATTAAAGAATTCTGAAGGTGCTGTTCAGCTTCAGGAACAAAGGGTGCCCCAGGAAGAAATTATATAATCAGCGTACTGTATCAATGCAAATTGGAAAAAGTAATTTCTGTTCATTGTATTAATATAAATGATGAGAAACAAGGAGTAGGGGGGTTGAACCGTGCACTATTAGCATACCAAAACATTAGCAGCAACTTCTGTACCAAGAAGCTGAACAGATACATTGCCAACAAAAAGCCAGTGAGGTTTCTGAAGATGATGCTAAAATGACGGAGCTACAAATTATGGGTGAAGTGGGTAAATCCAGGTACTATTATTTTCTGGATACTTCTTTTTGATTTTACCACTTTCGTTCACAGAAGCCTGAATTTTACAGTTTCAGCGAAGAATGTCTCAGAGTTTGGGCAGTGAGGACTGAAAACCAGAAACTTCAGAAAGTCACTGTCATCAAACATTCATACCTGCAAATGCCCTTAAAGAAGTCTGTGGCAGAATTAACAGAGCTAAACCATTTTAAAAGCATTAAAAGGCTCGAAAATATAACAGTGTCTTTACAAAGCATATTATCATCCAGAAATCTACGGATGAGCCTAGGAGATCTGGAGAAGGATAACTGCAAATTGAAATTGGAATGTGAAGCTTACACAAAAATTTCCAAGTAACACCACGGAGGTAAAATACGCATAGGACAGAGGACAGGCTGGATTTTGCAAAATCCCAGAAAGGAAAGTTTCAAAGCCCTGTGGATTCAAAGAGCTAGAATACAATTTACCTTACACATAAATAATACATTTCAAGAGAATATTTTCATTGGTAGAGGATCTAAAGACCAGTGTTTGATATTTCTTTAAAAATTAATTGACGTTGGTATATGACATTAGCCTCGCCACATCCCTGCAGTCTAGTATGCAGTCAGTACAAGTCCTGATCCATTATGGGTTTGGTCTCTTTCAATACCCTCTCCTGATTCAGTCAAGCAAATTAGTATGCTTTATGCAAAACAAATAAATAAATAACCCCCCTAAGCCTTATCGTCAAACAGAAATTACACAAAAGGGAGTATAGTCTGCGTGTTTTTTCACATATGACCTAATTTTTTGAGTACAAAGCTGTATCAGAGTTACCTTCATGTATCAAAAAGACATGAATTTAATTTTGTGAAGAGATCACAATTCATAAACAAACTATTTGACACATTTTACCATTGGAACTATCTGCTATCTGGTGGTCCTCGCTTTTCCTTGTGTGTGTATTGGGGTTTTTTTCCTACAGAAGATGGCAATGTAAATTCATATACAACTTCTAATCCATTATAATCTTGTTTATGGAACTGCTCTCTAACCAGTGATTTTCCATTTGTGCAGCTTGTTATTGCTGTGTAAACACCTTGCATTTGATGTTTTTGAATAGCATCTTATTTTTCCAGACGATACCTACAATTTATCAAGATTATTTTGAATTCAAATCCTGTCCTGTAATGTACTTGCAGTCCTTCCCAGCTTGGTATTGTTGCAAATTTAATAAGTACACACACTATTCCATCATTCAGATCATTAATGAAAATACTGAAAAACACCGAGTCACCACAAATCCCTGCAGAACTCCTTTTAAAAAATCTTCTCATTTTGATAGTGAGCTACTTCTTAAATACAGTTTCTAGTTTTCCACCCAGCCTATTGTAGTTGCATGTTTACCGTATTTCCCAGCTTGCTTAAAAGCATGTCTTGTGTCAAAGTGTCAAAGCCTTATGAAAAGCGAAATATAACATTCAAGGCTTTTCCTTTGTCCACAAGGCCACTGTAGAAGTAAAAGACTGTATCTTGTTGAGAAATCCATGCTGATGACTATTCTTATTGTACTTTCAGGTGTTAAAAATGCATTTACTTTTTCCAGTATTTTCTCAGGACTGAAACTCTGATGACAGCACATCCTTTTAGCCTATATAACCAACACTTCTCTCTCCCTCCTCTTTAAAAACCACCATTATGTCTACTCTACTCCAGCTCTCCAGTACCTCTACTCATTTTCACAAGATAACAGAAACAAACACTAATGGCTCCAAAATATAATCAGTTTAATCTTTAAATACGTTGGAACAGAGCTAATTAGAAACAGCTAACGGAAAAAGAAACCACCACACCTAACCTACCTGAATATTCTTGAATTGCTTTGTTCCTTCTTTGAGACTGACAACTTTTTCTGACAGTTGGGAAATTACTGTAATAATCACCCAGCTGAGGCTGACTTCTACAGTGAGGAATCATGAGAAGAAGAAAGGTTCTCTTACCCTTCTTCCCAAGATTGCCTTTCATATACACGCTCAAAGATTCCCTCCACCCTGGCTCAAACCCCCTCTAGAAGAACCTCTCCCCTGGTTGCCTTTTGTACATTCAGTCGCAGAACTTGTCACCATCACATTCCCACAGCAATCTCAATTAAGAGTCTGGCTGCAGGAAGCACCAAATCTCCTGAAATTCCTACTATTCATGACTTTAGTACTGTACCTCCGGTTGCCTACTAAAGATCTCATCCACTGAATCTTACCAGCTGGATGTCTACGATAATTTTCAGAACAGGGAGGTCCTTTTTTCCTCTAATAATTATCCAAAGGCCTTTAAGGGTTTCTCTCCTTCTACAATTGTGACCTGGGATAAGGCACCCCCTTAAATTACAAGGGAACAATTCCTCTCTTGTCTGCTCTTCCTGATCAAGAATTACAACTTTATTTTCAACAGCATAGTTTTTGCAGGTATGAATTTTCAACACAATTTTAAATTTTTTTATGGCACTTTATGCCCTTATGTTGTGACATAATTGGTCACAACAACATCATGTGAGTACAGTGTGGTTCAGTGTGGTCACAATGTACACAGCAGGTGTGGACACAGTTGGTACAAGGTTTATTACAGGGCATCGGTAAATACCCCAAAACAGACTGCTTCCATTTGCAAAGCCTGAGGTATGGAATTTC